AAAAAAAAAAGAACGCATGGTCGCATCGAAAGGCCTGGTGCCCTCCAACCTGAATGTTTCATTCACACGAATGCATTCACATACACTGTCGAATATGCGGAAATGAGAAGTACGCTGGTGCTTTTATGCTGCAAACTCAGGCCTGATTCCACAACTGAAACGACCAGCCCCTGTACAATTCTTGCACTTGTTTCAGTGGTAAATTGGTGCAAGTGCACACTAGGAATTCAAATCGGCCACAGTCTGTTTCCAAGTAACCCTTAAAAGCGAGAGCCATCTATTGATAGCCGACGGATAGTTACTTTTGGCTTTCGTTTCTTGTATCCTTGCGTCCAGTAGTTTTCGTTTCTTGTGCAAAATGTATACTAAGGAGGGACAACATTCAAGCAAGAACGGCAATTCGTACGGCAAAAATGTTTTTATCCGTTGGATTTGTGGATTTCAATAATCATAAGCCATCACATGTGTTTCAAGAAGTTATGCAGTATTTTTAGAGATGGTTACGCGCTACAAGTGAATCCACATGCCAGAATGGTCCAGCGGAATTATTTATCTTATTTTTACTTCATTGGTCGTATCATGGGCACGGCGATTTACCATAAAAATTTTCTTGACGGTAAATTTGATTCGATGTGTATAAAATTTAATTCAATTTTTCAGCTGTTTAAGGCAACCCTTTCACATTTAAGGCATGACGCTGTTTGAAAGTTTTTAGGATACTTCATCCGGCCATTTTACAAAATGATTCTTGACATGGAAATAACGCTGGAAGATATGGAATCAGTGGATTCTCAATATTTCCATTCATTAGTTTATATCAGAGACCATAATATGGATAAAGAGGATCTGGGATTATATTTTTACGTTGAGGAAGAAGTGCTAGGAAAGGTATGCTCAGATCATACTGGTCACACTCAGCATACAAATAGACTGGGGTGCTATGGGAGATGCTGCGGCACTGTGTTATGCTCATTCTCGCCATCCATATAATTGGCAGTATCTCCGTCCTTCTCCGATCCGAGCAAGCTTCATTTAAATTATACCAAATCGCTTCCTTCCACGTTATTAGAAAACTCAGCATGCAAACAATGCACAGATGCTCGACACATTTAGCCTCTATCCCATTTTCATGAAATTTTTTCAAAGTTTTTTACTTTAACACAGGCATTTTAAGGTTTTGTTCAACTGTTGCTCCGTCATCGCTTTAGTTCTTACCATTTGTGAAGCTGGCAAATTCTTTATTCATCTCTCTTTTGGACGTTTCTTGCCCACATAATTATAAAAAGCCATTAAGCGGATTCTTTCTTCGTTGTGAGAAGATTTCTCTTTCTTCTTTTTA